TCTCTTTCACTCTCTCTCTTTCTCTCTCTCTCTCTCTTCAGTTGACATAGGGAGTTCATTTTACCCGACAACCGGAAGTAAAACGTATCCCTCTGTCTTTGATGAGCCGGATCCACCGTGCAAGGAACATACTCAGGTGTCTAGCAAGCAGCATGTTGTCGGTATAGGTATTGTTGACAGCTCTCGATAAAACTTTTCGCGTGGTCGTCGGAGAATACGTCAGTAGAATGTAACAAGTGAAGAGAGTAACATAGAAAACATCAAATTCTAAACGCAAACATTGAATCCATACATACATACATATACATGGTATAAAGATAACTACTGTTGCGTGTTTGTAACGTAAACGATAAGCCTTTGACAGTGTTTTTTCCCAACGTGAATAATCATTTTACGCGAGTTTCTTTTTCATTTTTCAAGTGAAATTTCTTATATAACGGTAACGATAACATTTTATGAAACGACATATTATAAAAAAAGAGAGAGAGAGAAAGAGTAAGATAGAACCCACAGTCGAATAGTAGTCGATTAATATTTAGGATTGTTTTAACGTTCCAATACACATACACATACAGCGTTGATTGTCAACGATGACTTTGATTCGAAAATGTTCATCTAATGAAATATCTGTTAGAGAAATTGTTTAATATTCGAAGTATATATATAAAGCCATTTCTTGTACATTATTTTGTATATTTATTTCTAAATTGTTTTCATCCTGAACACTCTATATATCAACAGTTTTCAAGAAAAAATTTATTAAACATAACGGTGTACGATTACATTATTTTATTATACAGGAACACACATATATGGATCAATTAATTGTTTTCTACGTGACAATACAAATTTCACTTATATCGCGTACGGAGGCCACGTACATATTTTTTGTTCTTTTTTCTTTTTCTAACATTCTCACGGAATCTTCGAATAAAAACGAATTTTTCTAGGAAATGAAAAGAACTAAATCGCACGATAGATTGATAGGTAAATTGGGATAGATGGTGATTAATTCTGCACCCACTTCCTAACGAATTCGTTTACACACACATATTCATATACATATATGTGCGAAGAGAGCGGAGCTATCGGCATTTTAATTAAATGCCTTGTCATGAATACTGTTCGACTCCATATTCGTTCGAAAACCACACCACCACTGTAGGATCCAATGAATACCCGAATTTTACTTTTCAAAATATTCCTCTTCGATTTTTTCCTATTTTAATTTCTTTTTTATGACATGATTATTTGAAAAATTTGAAAGTCATTGATGATTCCACATACTCAATTACTATTTTGAATTCTATAACATTCAACGTAATTTCCATTCAAATATCTATCATAATCTTTTTAAAAAATACTAGTTATATATACGTATATACATACATACCTTCTTCTTTCATGATTTATTTATCAATGTTGTCTTAAATCTCAGTTAACGAGTTTAAATGAACAAAATTTTTCAAACTGAACGCATCGTTTATTATAGTTTGTATTTCGTTGATCTTATTTCTTCCTTATATTGTCTATTAAATTATAATTATGTAAAATATATGTGTGCGTGCATGTATGCCTGTGTATTTGATTCTACAAAGAAAATATATACAAAATACTATACTAAATTATATATATACAAAATATAAAATACTATGCTATATTATATACATATATTTGTTTTTAAATTTTTACTTTATTCTTAAAAGGAAACACCACCACCACCACATGTTACAAATTAATAAATCGAAAAGTATTAAAGTTGGCACGCACACACGTTTTGACTCGGAATACGAGTTTCGCGTCAGTTCTATCGACCCGCTTTTACAGTTACTCGAAATAGAAAGCTTACTTCCCTAGAGGCTTAGCTCTTTATCTCCCACTTTCGGCTCGAGATGAATCCTCTGATTCTAAATCCTCGAAATTGCATTGAATTTTACTATAGTGATATGCCAAGTTAGTATTCCTCGATCTCTTACACTAGTTACTAAAACATATATACGTATAAATGTTACAGTTTTCTGTCACCATAAGTTCCGGAAGCGTTACTAGTTCGTTTTTCAATCTGGAACGCGTCCAAAGATTGAAATTATTTCACGGCAGTGCTGTTGCAGCCTTCAGAAGAGAAGCAATTCTTATATATGTGTGAATGTGTGAACATGTATGTGTTAGTATATATACATCGGAAAAACGATTACGTCTGTGGGACGGCTAGACCCTTGCCGAGCTTAAACAAGGAAGCTTCGAAGGTTTTATTTTTAACTCAGAAGGAATAGAACTACAATACCAGAACAAATTAGGTTACACTAGGATACTTATTCCCTAAGGATTCAGCACCTAATTTCTGATAATCTTATCCTTAGGAATGAGGATCTCCGATTTTGTAGAATATCATTAGCAATTCACAAACTTTACAACGAGTCTTCATTTATTTTTATTACATATACATATTTACGATAGAAATATGATGTTACATAAAACGATTGAAAAATGAATGATGTGTAGGTACTACTTTTGGATTTTTTTACAATAACAGTATCACATGCTAATTATAAACTTCGGAACAATATTTAAATCGATAGTAACCATCATTTTGAAATGAGATGATTGAAATGTGATAAAAAAGGTAAGAGCAATTTTATGATAAGTCAAAAGTATCATAACTTCAGACACCTCCTTACAACCACTAGAGAAAATATCAAATTCTTTGTCTGGTTAACGAAAAGTTACCCTTCCACTACAATTTCAGGAACGATGAAGCGAACACGTGATGGAAATAAAATAGAAAAGGAAATTATTTTTTCTAGGGAATTCGATAGATGACCTCGATTTCGAAGAATCGAAAAATGTTAAATTGGATGTTCGTAAAATAAGTAGTGACGTGGTAAACATCAAAGGATTTTCTTACTAAATGAATGTTACGAAATATTAATAACACGCCTGGGATGATAGTAATATCTCAAAGTAGAAACTGGGTATTGACAGAAAATCATTATGCATCAATGAGGCTGCATTAAATTGGTATCGAAGTTGATACAAAATTATTGATTTCGAATGGAACCACTATCATTATATTCGATACGATGATTTGAAAACTATAATCAAAATTTTCCCAATTGAATGACATATCTTTGACTCACGTGTTCATGTCATTTCAATTACAATAGATTACCATTTTATTACAGAATATGATAATAGGATCAAAATTATTGTTTAAATTTCAAACAAATACTGTAGGCAGTAATCGTGATATTTAAACTGACAAAAATAATGTTTCCGATGCTAGTTATCTATAAAATCGAAAGGATGCTTACTTAGATAACTCGAGTAGTTCTTTGGGTATCGATGGAAAACTTCCTGGTATCATCTCTTGGGGTTGGTTGTACAGCACCCAACACTTCCAGAGTTTACACCCAAGTGACGGCCTATCGAGATTGAATACGTGCCAAACCAAAAGTCTGAACTAGTCTTTATGTATTTACCTACCATCGCAATGTCGAATTTGTTCGTTAAAAAAAATGTTCTCTCTTCGATAAGAAATTTACACTACGATCTTTAATTATTTATTTAAAAATTTTGTTGACACTAAAATGACTTTAAAAAGATGTTACAAAAATTATTCTATTTGTGAATATTTGAATAAAATAATTTTTCTTTTTCATGTGAATAATATTTTTAAAGAAATAATTCTTTTTTTTTCATCATTTTTCCATCTTTAGAAATTTAAATCAAAATATTGAAATAATACAACTGTATATTTTATTAATAATATAAATCTCTGGGGCTAATACGTTTAATAAATTTTACGTTAATAAATTTCTTAACTTTTACAACACTTTTCTGTATGGAAATTTTAATAAATTTCATCTGTCAATTTATTAAAAATACTTAATATTAGTATATTTATATGTTTATTTATTTAAAAATAATAATAGTCTCTTGCATATATAATCTTTTATTTGCAAGAATTTAAACACAACTATCAAAATATGTAATAAAATTACATATTTTATTAATAATAAAAATGTTATTATTGAAAACAATGTATTTTCTTAGAAAACCAATGTCACCACATGTCAAAATTGCCATAACCGCTAACTATTCGTACTTGTGATACTTCTCGAAACATTTTCGGTATTTCGACGAAATGTTGGCAAGTATTTTGCGGAGAATTTCGATGGAAATGCATTCTCACGATGAGAAAACGGTTCTGTCGAATTTGACGTATATAACAGGAATATATTCGAAGATAAAATCACAAATTGAGAGAGAGAAAAAGATACAAGAAAAACTCAAGACCCAACATGAAGTGTTTCTTCGATAATCGATTTGCTCGACAACACGAAATAGACAAACTTTTTGTAAAATCAAATAACAATAATAATAATAATAATAATAATAATGATAATAATGAAACTAAAATACAATAGAAAAAAACTAGAAAAGATAATTTTTTTGTTCAAAATAAACAAAATTATAAAATAATTACTATTACGATATTGAGATACTAGATCTTTTATTTTTATTTTTATTTTTATTTATTAAAATATTTAAACATGATATATTTTAATATATTAATATTTCCCTTTGGGATCGTAGAAAATTTTCCGAAAAATTTGGATCGTTTTACAAATACTTAGAAAAATTTACTTAAAATATTTGATCAATGTTGCAATTCATTGGATATAAATCGTTTTAAAATAAATAATTAATACGGGACGATGTTACCTAAACGAAACGTTATCCGTACTATCGATAAACATGGGCCGAGAAAAAAAGAAATGTAAATTAGATAAAAGATAAAACACTTAAGAAAAAGAGATCACGAACAATGATTTAGTAGGTCTGATTAGTTTAAGGAATTCAGAGAGGAATAGTGGGAAAAATAGAAGGAATTAAATAACAGTGCAGTGATTTTTCGTAGTATAAATGCACGACGCACTAACGTAGAACTATCAGATTATATTGTGAAGTTATACAAGACTAATAAGATATTAAAGAAGATGAAGAAAAATTTATTCGTTGTTATCAACATTCTGATAGTATCAGTTTCAGGTAAACCTCTATTTATTTTAAAGCCAATATTTTAATGAAATTCAATATAAACGATAATTATATTCAATCTGAAAACCCAACATTTCTATCAAACAAAAGAGAAAATATTCAGAAGAAGATTGATATTTACGAAAAAAAACAAAAGGATTTATTCAAATTAAATACAAAGTATTAGACTTTAAAATTTTTATAACAAAACATAGTTGAAAATTTTCGAAATAAATACTACGTGAATTAAGATACCCTTAATCGCGTCCACTCCAACGAATTTAAGTAGAGTTTACAAAGATAGATAGAGAAATAAAAAATGAACGATCTACTTTGATCTGCGGTTACTTAAGAAAGTAAAACGAAACCAGTTGGAGAATTGTGAGAAAAACTTATCGTGATCTAAAAGATTTATTTCTGTTATTTGATAAGGCCGGCCGGCCTGACTTCTCTCTCCGACAGGAATTCTTTTTATCTTTCAAATGATTAATCGAACATCAAACTATAGAGTAGAAAAAATAGTTTAGAATAGAACAATCAAATTCGATAAAAAAAGAATTCTAATAAATTTCTAATTATTTCTTAAAGCCGCACCACCAAGTGACTTGCCAAAAATAACAAGCCAAATTTTCCCAGAAGGACGTATAATTGGTGGAGAAAATACAAATATTACAGAAGCACCTTATCAAGTTAGTATTCAATTACTAGGGTCACATTTTTGTGGTGGCAGCATAATAAATAAGGAATGGATTCTGACGGCTGGACACTGTGCTGGGAAACCCTTATTCTACTATAAAATCCGTATTGGATCGGACATATCTACTTCCGGTGGTAACATTTATTCTGTATCAGGAATATACCAACACGAAGATTTCATATCTAATCCTCGTGGTGTACCATTACACGACATTGCCCTTCTTCGTTTATCCAAGCCCATTGAAGAAAATGAAAAACAGAGACCTGTGACATTATTTTCTAAGGATGAAAATGTCGAAGCAGGAAGCTTAGCAATAATCACAGGTTGGGGTAGAACAAAATACGGTACACCAGAAATCCTACAAACAGTGTCAGTTCCTGTTATAGATAAAGTCGATTGTTACAAAGCATATAAAAAATTATTTGGCGGTATAGAGATAAATCAAATCTGTGCGGCTTATCCCGAAGGTGGTAAAGATGCTTGCCAAGGTGACTCTGGTGGACCATTGACCATAGGTGGTCGTCAAGCTGGTATAGTTTCTTGGGGTAATGGTTGTGCGTTAAAAGGATATCCCGGTGTCTACACCGAAGTTTCAAAATACCACGACTGGATCGTTAAGATAACCAATCTCGAATTGTAGGATTTCTTACTTTATCCATTAGTTTACATCTATTCGACTGACACGTCTGTGTACTTAAACAGATAAGTTTAAATAAGAGCAATCGATCCAATGAGAAGACGAAGATCGACGTTCTCGTTTGAATAAACGAGAGAAATATACATAGAACATAGTCGAATTGCAAGAAACACACACTTACGAATCACTATTAAACTACTACCTATCTATCTAACTATCTAACTATCTATATTCGAATCCGTGTCTCCCTTGCTAACGTATGTAAACAAAGACTCGTGCGTAAATCGTTCCGGCTAAATGACCAAGCTAAATACGAAACCACTATTGCTGATCTCTCTCCAAGAAGCCACACGTTTTAGTCGATGAATTATCCATGAAGCTTGATCAGAAATTCTAACATTCGATATATGTATATTTTGAATTTGTATACAATTATTAATTGGAAATGTATAATAGAAATATGCATTATGTTTTGTTTTATTTTTATATCTTCAAATTCATCTATGTAAAATATTCATTAACATGTGTACAATATTTGAAAATAAAAAATATTAATCATCGATGTATACGTAATTCTATTAATTATATTCTTTTCTTTTTCTTATTTTAAACATATAAAAGATAGATGGGGGGAACAAAGAAATCCAAACGAATGATTAAATATAGAAATGATAAGACGTTGACATATTTAATCCTGGATGATTTATCTAACTTTTTTTTATATTAACAAAATTTGGTGCAGTCAACACAATGGAAACCACGAAGAAAATAAAAAGTATAGCATATATATAAACCATTTGATATTGTGGAAGGTCTTGAAAACAGATTTCGATTTTATCATTCGATCGACAACGAGAGTGATGATTCAAAGTTTTATTTATCATGTTCTACCGCTATCAAAATCATCGACAGAGAATGCTACCAACAAAAGATTTACGATTAATATTATTGATTGATGAGACAAAACTCGAAGACAGTAAATCCTTATCAATATACCACAAGATACTTAGGGATTTGTATCGTATTTGTAAATGAATGATCAAGTTCGTGTAATACGAAATATTAAAAACTTATCGATTTTATCAAAAATCACACGACAGATTCTATTATAATCCATCTTTGAATACCATATCATAATGCATATTCGAATTTCATATAAATACTCGTCAGATGATACAGAGAACATCAAACACATCACACGAGTCAACATGTTCGCTCAATTAACAATTGTTTGCCTGATTGCAGTAGCAGCTGGTGAGTATAGAAAAAATATATATCAAGAAATATCAACATTCTCAGAATTATAATATTGATATTAATTATTTAAATATCATGTTGGACAATAATTGTGATCACATCATTAAAATGTTTTATCAAATGTTATAGCGGATCCTATTCCAAGGCAGCTAACTTTAAATCCTTACACTCCAAACGGTCGTATCGTTGGTGGTGAAGATGTTGATATCGAAGAAGTACCTTACCAAGTTTCTTTACAAGCATACGGTTTTGGTTTCTGCGGTGGTAGCATCATTGCTAAAGACTGGGTGCTTACCGCAGGACATTGTATAATCTATTCGGCGGACTCGATGGTTGTACGTGCTGGAACAACCACAAAGAGTTCAGGAGGTAGTCAACATAAGGTATGTTTATCAAGAAAATGTATAAAAAGAAATGGAAAAGAAAAACCTAATCAATGAATATTTCTTCACGATAAACATTTGACATAAACTTAATATGAATGTAACAGGTAGCAGAGATCATCAGACACGAGAACTATAGGACCAACATGAATGGTATTCCAGAAAACGACGTTGCCTTACTTCGTCTAGCAACCCCATTCGAATTGGATGCAAAACGTCAACCAATTTCCTTGTTCGATATAAACGAAGAATCTGTTCCCGGAGTAAAAGCTACGATCACTGGTTGGGGTGCAGTCTTCCAAGGGGGTTCAACTACGGAAAATCTTAAGATCGTCAATATTCCAATGGTTTCTAAAGTTGATTGCAACGAAGCTTATTCTTCATTCGGCGGTGTCCCAGCTGGACAAATCTGTGCCGCTTATCCACAAGGTGGCAAAGATGCTTGCCAAGGTGACTCCGGTGGTCCTCTTGCTATTGAAGGTCGATTGGCTGGTATCGTATCTTGGGGTAACGGATGTGCGAAGAAAGGATATCCAGGAGTTTATACCGAGGTTGCTGCCTTCCGTGACTGGATCGATTCCAAACTCAAACCTTAAATTCAATACTGGAACGACAAAGTATCGATCGACCAATGATATTATTTTTATTTGTATTTTCTTTATTATTTTCTTGTCAAACGGACTAGTACTAAATAACTCTTGTAATACTTCCACTACTATTACTATTATTACTAGTAGTAATGATACAAATTGTAGAACAAGAGTCTTAAGTACTTCCTAAATGTATATATTACTAGCAATCAAAATAAATGCATAAATATTAAAATCACAATTAAATTCGTGTTATCCTTGTGTGAGTCAATCAATTCTATCTATTCTATCACAAAATAATGGAATTCTATGAAGAATAAAAAATCGAAATGAGATATATGATTTATAGAAAGTGAGTATCAGACTATATATACGTCTCACATTGCGTTTCAATCGCTTCTGTCGATTGGCTCGGTTCAGGAAAGAGCAAAGGAAGGAAGTCAATCGATTGGAAGGGAAAGTAGTGCTGCTGCTGCTGCTGCTGCTCTCATTTCATCCTTTTCACTGGACTTTTCCAACGTATACCCTTTTGCATAAGACCAAAAAAGCTTTTTTGGTTATCTACCTTGTTTTTTTAACTTCCCCTTTTTGTTTTCTTCTTTCAATTTTTTTTTCTTTTATTATTGCTCTCGTATCCCTTCATAGGAATGGATTTACGTTCGATGTTAAAAAAGTATTAAAAACGAAAGAAATATATACTGTACTATCGAAAACTGCTTCACTGGCGTATTTGATCCTCCAAATGGCTTTTGAGTTGCAACACGTTTCAATAAATCTACGTTTTTATGCATATTCTATCCAGATAAACGAATAAACGGTACTTCATATTTACATCATATATCAAAGTTTTTACTTGTATCATTTTAATTCATATGATATCTATTAATACTAAAGAGAAATATCAAAGGGATATATTCAAATCTGTCTTAATTTACTAACTTAATTTACTAACTTAATTTCCTGAACTAAAATTGCATTCCTAATAAATGTTCCATTAATTTATTCGATGAGTAAAATTGGAATAGTTAATCCAATTCGTATTAGAGATAATCAACAACAAAGGTCTACAATCTTAAGATTGTTTCAAGAATGTCGTCAATGAAAAAAGATCAAATCATATTGAAACCTGGAAACTGTTAATGAACGATCGGAAATCATTCGAACTCGTTTATAATGTCATCGGAAACGTTTGTTCAAGTTATATCCGGGCTCTTTATCACTTAATTATCTCACGATTGAATCATTCGAATGTATAGAGTTTGAGTGTTGTTAATGGAACAACATACAGCTGATTCATTCAAAAAACTAATGAGATAATCTTTATTTGGTATAATTAACGGTCAAATCTGATAATTGGTAAGTCTTGAATTAATGATTAATTTAAACAACGAATTTTTCTTTTTTCCATCAATACACATCAACATACTAAATATACTGTCCCGTTTTTAGTTAAAGATTTATTTGTAAAAAAAAAAAACTGATAAGCTTTCCAAAACGATAAAGAAGAAGGGAAGAATTCATAGTAGGAAGACGTAGAATCGCAAGTAGGTTAAATATGAAGTTTTATGTTCAGTATGGCCCCGGGAGGCATCGAAAATGCTTGCCAAAGGTGATTTTCAAGATTCCCACTAGTCACATAGGTTTATCTTCAACGATTGTATGGTAACGATAGTTCAATGGAAAATGGTCCTCTGTATGTTTAATGTTTTCTCGATGTTGTACTACACATCCTTCGAAATATGATAAAACAATTCTTCACAACGAGATAATGAAACGAATTATTAAAATCCATATGTAGTATGAATTTTGTTTATAACAACAAACATGAAATATTATCAAGTAATCATTCACGAGATGGGATTAATAAAAGAGTTAGTAAAATACGAGTAGTATGAATTTTTGTTCGTAACAATTAACTTTACTTGTTAAATACGTTACTCTTGCCAAAAGGAGTATACAAAACAGAAAGAAAGTGGGTCCAATTTTAGAAGTACTAACCTAAGATGGACTTTGATGGGACTTAATAGAAGTCTTTTTGAAAGGAAGCCAAACGCGACGATTACCGCAGTAGCAAAGAATCTTTAGATTGTAGAAAATAAGAAGAAGAAGAAAAAGAAGAAAAATGATAGACGTCATCGCTCTTGGCTGACAATATGGAAAGCTTAGCATATATTTTTTTATGCTAAAGTAACACACACGTGATAAGAATTTATCTTTTATATCGGGTTAAATAAATTCTATTAATTTTGTTTTTCTTCTCTCTATTTTATAGAATGTTTAATAGGTAAAAGAAAACTTTTTTTTTTTTATTATTACTTTCGTTTAACAGATTGCGACAAAATAAAGGTCACTCTTTAATTCTTTCTCTCTAATGATTTTCATGGATCAACTATCACATTCGTCTATTTTATTTTCTCATATGATTAAAAGAAAGCACAATGTATGATCGATGAATAGGGTTCGTCAAACGAGTTAAAGACGCTTGCAAGGAAAAGCCAAGAGGAGACAAACAATCGGCCGTTTCAATAAAACCGAGTCGATAACTTATTTTTAGATCACTCCTGTAAACGTAGGATATCTATGTATATACGTATACATATATATATATTATACATAACCATGTACACAACACGTGTATAATAGATGTTAGGAAAGAATGATGAAGGCCAAACTCTAATGTATCTACATAAACAAAATTTATAAAAAAGAATATTGGTATATAATATAAAAAGATGATATTGTAGAAATAATATTCATTTTATATATATCCGATCATTTATTCTTGAAATATTTATATATGTATATTCGTAAATATTTATTATTATATGTATATGTATCAATTTTAATTCTTAAAAACTCTCATCAACTAAAAAATAAATCGAAAATATGTATATCCAAAAACGAAATAACAAAATCTAATGGATCGCGAATATAAAACTATCGATCTATGAAATTCGATTATCTCGTTAAAGTTTCTAAAGGCACGGGTTTTCAAGCACATGGCCCAAAAAAAAATATCTATTTTCTCTCAAAAGAGATGAGGTTCGTTACCTATGTAGTTTGCTGCAAAAATTCGCGTTGTTAGAAGAAAATAAATATGTGTATAGTCTTTGCATATTTATACATACCTGTATATACATGAGAATATACATATATGTATATATATATATATGAAAACAGGAAAAATACCCTTCTAAAGAATCTAGATGAATTTTATCTCTTAGTTTTCTAGTGAATTCATATGGAGTCACACGGTCACTCGCTTCGAATGAACTTTTGACCCCGCACTATGCATCCCCATTAACGCACATGTTTCATTAAAACTATAACGTATAATATATATACATATGTGATACATACACTTTATTTCACTTTATTTAATTTTTTAAGGTTCTATTTTTCATCTATAAATACATAAACACACACACACACACACACCATATATAGATTCTAGATGTATACTTTCTATCATTTTGTCTTATTTTTTGAGTTCCTGTTTTTTTTTTATCATTAAATATAGCAAAAAATAAGTCGTGGTAGTTGGATATAAACCACTTCACGGGCAGTGACGTCAACACTTGGAATATATTTCCTTGCCAATTATGTCAAACGCGATGTCTCAACGTTCGCCAAATTAGGGATGACATGGTAGTGCTATTGCTTCTACTCCTACTTTGCTCCTGCTGCTGTTACTGCTACTGCTGTTAATATCTCTGATGTTTCTACTGTGAACTAATATCGTCACTGTCCTGCTGCAACTATTACACACCGATGTTGTGAATACCAGTGCATCTACTAATATTGCTGTTACCAGTGTTGCTGATATTACTGATGCTATCACTGGTGTTGACATTACCAACAGTGTTCCTTACTAATGATCTCATATAAATTATTCATTCGAAACTCTACCAATTTTCAAATTGTCTTCAAAGTTATTAAACAAAATAATATATATATATATATAATAAGAGGTTAAAATATATTAATTATAATTAATCATGAATTTCTTGATGTTATATATTATACTATAAATTGTGCAAATGTGAAAAAAAATGATCACTATAATATATCGTCTCTGTTTAATCACGGAAGTTTCTTAATGGATAAACAAACGAATCAAAGTTCTTACCAAGTAAGTCTGTTTATTATCCTATACGTGAAATTTTTCTATATCTTGCTGCTTTCCATGCTGAATAAGAGAGAATTTATTTATGCTGTTAATACAGAAAGCTATTCTCTTTTATCGTATTTTCTCTCTTATTTTAATTTCCAACAAACAATAGATTTGAAATCTAATTATTAAATTAATTAGCAAATTACGTTTCCTTAATTGGATCAATAATGTGTAAATAAACACAATGCCGAACGATATTGGCCACTTTGTTGAATTAACTAGTGAACAATTTTTTTTATTTCTTTCTTTTTTAACATTTATATATTGAAATAAAAAAATAAGAAATATATAAAAATAACAAAATCGAAATGATCTCGATCCTTCCATCCAATATCTCTCATCTCTTACTACATGTAATGCAATTAAACATATACATAGGTACATTTACATATCCATGGAGTAAGGTAATGGCTTTTAAATGGCAACGATATCGTCGCATTAACCATCCTGCAATTACTATTAACGAAATTCTCTCAGAAATTTAGCTGCGCAATCGATCGAATGTCAGTTTATTATCATAAAAATACTGTAAGCCGATTTTCTTCAACGAACAATCAAGATAAAGTATTATATCGCACAGGATGATTACTTGAAATTTTGTTAACGAAATATATCAATGTGTGATTATAATTGTAAAATATATTTCTTTACAACACTATATGTAATATTATTATTTTGTTTACATTTCAATTTCATTCTATACATAACAAAATGAATTATTATTTCATATCACAAATTATATTACGCATAATAAATATAAATTTTACATTTATAATAGTATACCATTACATAATAATACTGATAATATAAGTAATATTATTACATTTTCGAATTATATAATTTTTGTCGTCTTAAATTATGAATTTTTTGAACAAAATAAAAAACCTGATTATTTGGATGATGTATAATAGTTATTTAAAACAAATTTATGTATAAACGTATATAAATATGTGTGAACGTAAATCATAAAATCTTGTAATGCTTAATTGTTGATAATGGCTGAATCATTTTATTAATTCCAATGGGTAAATAATTGTATCCTTTATAACTGATGAACTATGCCCAGCGATATCCGAAGGTAGATTCTACTGTAATAAACCAACGTGATGATTGTTCCGAGTGTTATACTTGTTCGTTCGTTCGTTTGTTCATTCGTTCATTTGATGCTTGTTACTCGGAAGATATGAAAAATAAACAAACCACCATTCCCATCAGCAACGTTGACACGATACGAATTATGTGAAAGATTCTGTTGATTTGTGAACGAGTAGAAAATCGATGCTTGATAAATATCTTCGACATATCCTTGATAATTAAACATCTGCAATAATTACGAAAAATATCCATTGATACGAATGCTTGCTTGGATAATCGATGAACCGTTAAGCCCTATGTTACATTATTTTTCCTATCCTCAAATAAATTATAATATAATGAAAATTTTAATAAAAGTTATTAACACTATGTTATAATGAAAAACAAATTTGTATTTGAAAGAAGTATCGAATGTAATTATTATATAAAAATTCAGATATATGTATGTGCAAGGGAAAATATAAATATTACGAGTTGCTAATATAAAGTGTATACTAACATTTGAAAGAGAAATATCGAATATGATTTTCATAAAAGTATAGATAAAAAGGATAATATTGTATATATTACAAATTAATATAATGTATAATATTACTCACACAATCATTTTTATCATTATATTATGTTAACTAAGTATAATTAATTTCGTAATAAACAAAAAAAATAAATAATAATCACAAAAATACACTTCGCACAGTTGCATGATGTTATAAAGGGTTAAATAAATAAGAAAATAAATAAATGAATGATAAATATATAAATAATCTCATAGAAAAGAGAAGTGTGTGTTCTGAAACGCGTCAATTCATTTGACAGATAAACGAAAAAGCTCTTCAACGTTTTTGTCTTCATAACGCCACTTAGCTTCAAATGGTGTAAGGATTATTACCTTGCCAAGGGAAACATTTGTGCCAGATTGTGACCGCAATGAGTGTGAGCAACCATATAAGGGTTTGTCTGGCTATATAACTTTTCTCAATGTGTTTTTAGAAGGATTAAGATATAATATTATCCTGTGGATCACGTACTCTTGACGTTACTTCGTCAAAGGCCAGAAAATTTCTCCTAACTCTTCCTCTTCCTTTGACGATTTTGTTATTTCAAACGAAATACTGAGAAATTTTTAAACAAGGCAAAAAAGAAGTTTACACAGAGAACGTGTGTAAATGATAAAAACTAATATAAGCTGATTTGAAAGAGAGTTTTACGGTGATTTGAAAAATCAATTACTCTTTTTTGCGAAACTTTCCAAACAGTTTGCAGAATATAAAACTATAAGTCTAACTACAAGCCTAAAAAGTCTTGAAAAAGTATTATTGATTTTTTAAATCACTTAGGTACTTTTGACCCACCCTGAATAAATAAATATAATATAAGCCACTCTGTAAATGTTTTCAGAAGAGAAAACAAAGAAAAAGAGACATAGACAAAAAGGGAGATCGATTTATTGATGCATCTGTGACAATGTTACGAGATATAAAAAAAGTTAAATTAACGGAAGATAAATCGGAAGAAAAGCCATAAGAACTTATCTAAAGCTTGCGATGCGCTTAGAAGTAAATTATCTTTGAAAATAAATGAACAATCCTATTACGTGATTATAAAATGTATATAAAACAAATTAAGCCCAATGAAGAAGTGAATGAAACATACAAAAATCATCAAACGAAAGTAATAAGTGAAATAAGTTCAATTATGAAAGGAAATTGAATGAACCATCAAATAATAGTAATATTAATAACAATAACAATAACAATAACAATATCAATAATAATCGTATATGAGTGTGTAACATGCACACAAGCGCATACACATATTTTTGACACGTTGATAAAGGACGTTAAACGCATAAACGATCAGGAGGATGGTAAAACAAATATAGATAGATAGCGACATGAATATTTTACGCATTGAACGAAGGCCATACTATCGACCAAAGTGCAAATGAGTTTTGCACAACGTCGAAATAATTGAATAAACGGAGAATGGTGTCAAGCGAATATCTGCTCGAGTTGTTACGTAGAAGGAAGTAGTAAATAAATTGCACTAACCTTCGTTTTTGTCTACTCGAATTGGAATGAAAATCTGAGAGTATAGAGAAAATAAACATTAAAAATAAATAAATACATAAATAAATGAATAAAATTGATACAGTTTTACAGAGCTATTCCTCTCCGCGTTCTTAATTTGTTTTTTTTTTCTATTTTTTTTTTTTGTTAATTTCTTGCTCGATATCAAGGATTAAGAAAGGAGAAAGAAAAAAATAAAAGAAATACATTCAAGAACGAAAAACTCATTTTATTCATACGCCTATGCTTTTGAGTTTACTGCCAAAACGTGGGAGAAATAAATAGAACGACCAGTACGCATGTTGGATCGAAGTGAAACGGAACGGTATAGAAAATATTCTACGAAATATAATTGTAGTACATATTTACACGTATGAGAATACGATTGCATGTGCGTGCATGTGTGTGTGTGTATATGTGTATATACACGAGAAAAAAAGTAACATTAATCGTAATTTCTAAAATGGGAAATAAGAAGATCGAGAATCGAAACAATTCAGTTCGCCTAAACTAACTTCATTTATGCTTAAATAATAAGCCAATCGCTTTTAACACGCTCGCAACAATCGTGTGTACATGTTCGACTTGCTTCGCGACAATCGGATTACGGTCTCACATATACGTTCAAAGATATAACACGTATACGTTATACATTAACTCAGTAAATGCAAAGGGATCGATCCTAAAGTCGCGTGAGCTCTCGTTTATTCTTTTTATTTCTCTTTTTTATTATTATTTTTTTTAATTTTTATACCATTCTCTCTTGCTATTCTTCTGATTTTCCTTCTCTTTTCATTCTCTCGTCAGAGAATTAATAAAGAAATAATAAATTTCAAATGCTGCGACACAAAGTTCGTGCTTCCGACGCGTTCTATCTTTTCGCTTTGATAAATAATGATAAAGCGAATTCAAAGTAATACTTTGTACACTCTAGAAACTTATCTTCTTCTTCTTCTTCTTCTTCTTCTTCATCATCTTCTTCTTCTTCATCTTCTTCTCTGTACACTTTCTTTTGGCATATATGAAAATATTCTATGTTAATTAAAGAAAACGAAGGAGACTCTTTGTTGTATAAAGATCGATATCTTTTACACAGCTCCTTATTTGACGTTTCGAATTCGTATGACGAAATTATCTCGAGTTAAAATGTTGAACGCCATTGATATACTACAAAACTATACCCCTAATAACGATGATTGAAAAAAAAAAGAAAAAAAAATAGAAAATCCATATATTTTGTAGAGAAATTTAATTTGCACCGAAATATAATCAAATCGAATCAAGACAAAGGATAGAAATTTTTATCGTTAAGAGAGTATAAAATGGCAAAACATTTGGCGCTATTCTAAGAACTTCAAATTTCAACGATCTTGGCAACACGTAATCTCAAGATAATGTTGACCGTAAGCGACGATGATTTCTAAGTAATTTTCGTTTACAAAATTAGCTTACGCAAATCGATGAAAAGTGTAGTTATAAATGAAAGATATTTAATAATAATTATAAAATAAAAATAACGTGAAGTGGGTAGAATCATGTTGTCAAATATATACGTATAGAAAGTTAAAATGGCGTACCCTAAACCCCCTAGTAATTCATTGGACTTACCATTGTTCTCGTCTTCGCACGTCCGTCTTCGATTTTTCTAAGTCCACCCGTACTTTGATAGAAAAAATCTGTCGATCTTCTTGATTTCTACGAAATTGATCGTTTCGATAACTATAAATCAACGAAGAAATTCTCTTCCTTATTTCATATGTAAGTATATATTACGATCGCATCAAAAAAGTGATTAATAATTGGAGAAAAGAGAAAGCGCACCAATGGCAATGACAACGATTAACGAGTGACCAATCCTCAGCCACGATTCACTCGCGCGAAGTTAGTAGCCAATTCCACGCGGTTACGCGACGCGTGTAGTTGTTCGGTCGTGGTAATAGTGGTTGTTCATTGGACAACTGCAGAAAAGAGACAGGTGTAGCTAAAACTAAAGATTTTTCGAAAGAAACGAAACAAAAATTACTATCGGTGAGAGAGAGAATCTCACCGATATAATAATATGTTCTTTTTTACTTCACTGTTCATTCTTCTTACTATTCTATCTATCTATCTATCTATCTATCTATCTCTATCTCTCTTTCTTTCGTTTTCGTTTTCGTTTACAAAGAGCTCGTTGAAGGAGATTCGAGCTCGAACGTGAAATTCCTTCGCGAATGCTCGCGCGTTATGTCACTCGGAAGAGTTCCTGGCAAACAATCAAAAGAGATCGCTGACTCTGACCCTCTTTTTCCCTCTCCTTCTCTCTCTCTTTCTTCTATTTCTTTCTGTCTCAACCCAAAAGTCACGATAAACGTCGCACCTTTTTGTTCTCCTTTCTAATCAACGATATTTAGTTATTCTTCGCGAATTAGAACCCTCCCTGTTTGATCTCTATCATTTCTACAAGATTTTTCTCTAACGCGAAAAAGATACTTTTATTTCTCTATTGTCTTAGAAAGAAAAAAAAAAAGAAATACACGTTATCTACGCACTGTCCAATAATTTCTATTCCCTTTACTAATCCTTTCCCTTTTCTTTTCTTCCCCTTCTTCTTCTCTTTCTCTTCCCTTATAGCCTGTTTCGCACGCACCACACGTACGCACGCACGCACGCGCGCGCACACAGCACACACACATACGAAAGGGACGCGCGCGCGTCCGCGAAGCTCCGCGGTGTCTTTCAGACTGAGGGGTAGTTTCGTCGACGGTGGTTCGCCTACATCACCGCCACCCTTCGACCAAAACTTACACTAAAATATCGTCTCTCGACTACCATCATCCTTACTCTTCCTTTTTTCTTCCTTACTTTCTTCCTTCCTTCCTTCCTTCTTTCTTCTTCTTCTTCTTCTTCTTCTTCTTTTTCTTTTTAAACGTTATACGATCCTTCTTCTATTCCTATTTGAATATTTATTAATAAATATTATGATTTGGTAATATATATCTGAAAAATAAATACTTTAGAATATTTGTTTGTTCTATTTTTTTATTTTTTTAGCATTAAAGTGGCTGCATTAATTTTCTGAAAGTTCTTCCTTTTTTTCCATCTTCTTTACACATTTCAAAGATTTTATATATTATCATATTATTTATATTGTTTCTAATACATAGTATATATCGAATTATTCTCCTTAGATAATATTTATTTTATTTGATTCATTTGCAATATGTTAGAAATTTATGTTTTAACGTTTCAATTCGATTGCAATGTAACCCAAGCCGACATCTTTTGGTCGAATATAGGAACGATAAAATTTGTTAATGATTATAACAATACAATTCATTTTCTTTTTTAAATTAATGAAAAAAGAAATATTTATATTCGTAGATTGTAAAAATGATACATAAGTTTCGTGTATGCTAAACAATTGTTATGCATTACTATAGTTTCAATTGTTTAAAAATTTCCAATTTTTTTACTTATTAAAAATATTTAATTGCATGTACATTAATATTATTATTATCGAACTTACAAATTGTTAAAGGTCAAATTTTAGAAAAAAATGCAACGTCATTTTCATTTTGTAACATTTAACTTACAATTAGCAATTTTATCGTTGTTACCGAAAGTATATAATTATTTGTATATGTATATATATTGGAAAAAAAGATAAACTTTTAATAAATTTTGCTTATACTTAAAAATACTATTTAAATTCGTCAAAACTTCCTCGAAGTAAATAACGTTTTTACATTCTGAATATTTCCACTTCCTAGCTTCTTTTAGTTCGCAATTTCTATAATATGGAGTAAAGAAGTACTGTATAATAATAATAAGAAGAAGAAACACACGTAAAATAAAGTTGTACAATCTGTGAAACAAACTTTTCGTATGTATTACGATTTTATACCATTAATAAAAAATGATTCTCCAACCATCGAATAATAGGATCGTTGGAGGCGCTTATATAAACATCACGTTCGTTCCATACATGGTAAGATATAACAAACTTAATAAAATTATTACAAACAAAAAAGACAAAAATTTATTGAATCGCTTTATTAATCGAATAATTTCATTTAGCTCTCGCTCATGTTGGGAGGTCAACACATATGTGGTGGTGGTATTCTTAACGAAAATTTCGCTATAACGGCAGCACATTGTGCCCAAGTGTAAGTTTGAATAATAAAATAAATTAAAAAAAAAAAAATGAAGAACTTTATACTGAAATAAATATCCGATTTGTAGAGTTGCTAGACGTATAAATGATTCCACAGTTCGTAGCGGATCTTCTTATAGAGACAAAGGTGGTGTCATTCACAATGTAGTAAAAGTAATCAACCATAAAAAGTTTAATTCGAATACAAACAATTATGATATCGCAATCCTAAAGATACACCCACCTTTTAAATATGATAGTACTACTCATCCATTAAAGATACCGTTTAATGAATCGACTCCTAGTGATTTCGGCCTTGTAGCTGGTTGGGGATACTTTTTGGTAAAAAACTAATAATAATGAAAACTATTATAATAATAATAAACATTTTCTTAATATATACATTTATATATTAGTAAATATTTTTATAATCATTATTTTTAACATAATTTATAATTACAAGAACTTCGATCCGGTTCTCTCCGAACAATTGCAATACGTTTTACTACCAAAAGTATCGAAAGACAAATGTAAAAAAGATTATTCAGGTAGCTTTGACGTAACTGAAACTCAAGTATGTTATGGATTGAATGAAGGAGGACATGACGCTTGTAGAGTAAGAATCAATAATTTTAATCTTAATTAAGAATATTCGAATGATCACTATGATTTATTACATTGTTTACACTTAGGGTGATTCAGGTGGACCAATGGTTAATTTGGATAATGTTTTAATCGCTGTGACATCGTGGGGTGATGGATGTGCACACCCAAATCAGCCGGGTGTTTATACTGATGCTGTTCTACTTCGTGATTGGATAAAGAACAACATTGGAAAACATTAAGACGGAAATTAATATGACAAAAATGTTACGAAATACAATTATCTATTTCGATAATGTTAAACAATATGTATATTGATACAGATATAAATATATATATATATATATATATATATATATATATAGGGTGAGCCAACTAACGTTGGTACCTTAAATATCTTTGTTGTTTTTAAATATACGTCAAATGTCTTAAGGAAAAAGTTAACGGTTCAATGGAACTCTCTCGATGCCATCAATATTTTTCTATTCATGTCATATTTTTTAAAGATATCAAATTTACTTTTATTTTTTTAAATTGAACCACCATTTTTTCTAACTTTTTTCTTAAGACATTTAATATATCTTTAAAAACAACAAAAATATTTAAGGTACCAACATTAGCTGACTCATCCTTATATATCAAAATTATTAATGTCGTTTAATGTTTAATCATTTTACGATTGTTTAATATTATTAATTAGGTAAGACAACTTCGACATTTTGACCATTCTCGGATACAACAAATTTAGCATCCTTGTAACGCAAAAGATTACTCTTTTTTCTCGAATGCCATGCATTATAACCAGCTTTATAAAATGCAGGAAGTCGATTGAATTTACCTGCATTTGCCAAAAAATCGTTATATTCCCATTGTTCGGTCATCATTCTATGTGCATGTCTTTTTCTCAAGGTTTTCAATTTCGAATCTTCGAGCATTTGAGATTTTGAAGGTAAAATAAAACGATTTTTTAAAAGACTTAAGAAATATTGTATCTAAAAAAAAAATTATTTTCTCTTTTATACGCGTTCTTTCTTTAATTTTGAATGCAAATGTTAAATTAAACAAAGAAATCAGACAAAACTGTTATTTAATAAATAATAAAAATGAAAAATCTCTATAGAGAAATAAATATTTATACCTGCATATGAAACATAGGAAATGGTACTATTTGTGATGGTATACCAACGATAGCCATTGTTTGATGTTCTATATTAATAAGATGCTTATATAATGGGGTTACGTAATTATCATCGACTCTGACGTCACAACTTTCATCTAAGAAAGGAAAACTATATTGGTATCCAGTACAATAAAGAAAGACGTCGATGGTAACGGAAGTTCCATCTTTCAGAAAACATTTCGTTCCTTCCAATCTGTCAACTCCAACAACTTGGATCATGTTAGACGGAAATACGCTCGTGAATCTATACGTGCAGATATCAAAAGAAGAAAAAAGTATATGTATACTTATATATATATACACGTATAAAATAAATATAATAATGGTAATTAAAAAACCTTTCTTGATTATGACTCAGATAGATGGTAGAAGCATGTTGAACTAAATCGATTCCAATATCGATACCAGAGGAAGCAGCACCCAAAATTAATACTATTTTATTTTTAAATTCTTCCGGTTTTCTGTATGAATGACTATGCGTCACTATACCTGGAAAAGTGTCCATACCTTTTATTACAGGCATATATGGTTCGAAATAATGTCTAAAAAAAAACAGACAAAATCCAGGTTTAAATTTTCCTATAAAAAGGTCTTATACAAATAACGAAGAAAACAAAATATACCCGTTACAAATCATAACTGCATCGTATCGATGTTCCTCCGTATGTTGAGTTTTTAAATGTTTAACACGTACCAACCATTTCTCTTCATTGCTATCATCCAACTTAATTGGACGTATATTCTCAACTTTTACATAAAACTAATGCAATTATATATATAATTATATAAAAATGTTTATATAACTATAATGTTTCAAGCTTTCAAAAAGTTCAATATACATTTAAAAAAAAATGATATTCGATCGATTACCTGTATGTACTTAAGTAATTTAAAGTGTTCCACGTAATTACGCAAATAAGATAAAACTTCGTTATGAGATACACAGCATGGTTCCTGTGCTTCCATTCTCATGTAATCAGGAAAATTCATGATTTTTGCAGGTAAATTCGTTCTAAAAAAATTACTTCTTACTTATTGATAAAATGTATAATAACAATGATAAAACGTAAAAAAATCATTTGACAAACCTTAAATTTTGATACATGCTTGAATGAATTGGTAAACCATTTTCGTTTAAACCGATTCTATGATTATATACCCAAGTACCACCAACATCACCGGTTTGTTCATATACTATTATTTCAAAATTCGTTTCTTCCGCCAAATGTTTGGCTGCGCATAAACCAGCTGCGCCTGCGCCGATAACGCATACTTTTTTATTGACATTTTTCGCCATCTATGTTTTTCAAAAGAAAATACGTAAATGTGACGTTTATGAGAACGATCGGTAAAAAAAAAGAGCATTTATAACAGTTTATTATATCGTTAATTAACACCATGTATCGATATATATCTTTAAATTGTAAACATTAATAATAATTATAAACGAAATTTTGGTATGCATTATTCTTTTTCTACGTTATGAAGATAAACGCAATAATTATCTTTATAACACTTCACACCTGCTGTTTTTTTACTGGGCTATTAGATAAGAACTTGAAGATGATTACAAGTATTTTTTTTTTTTTTTTAATCAAATTATGTAAAAATGAAATATAAAATTTCAATATTTTGTATGATAAAGATATAAGATATATATGTTTAATTTGTTATTTAAGAAGCAAGATAAGAAACTTGTTTTACGATTAATCGAATTTTCTGAACTTTTTAATAATTATTAATTTTTACTTCGGTCTTGAATATATATACCAGATAATGATGACAACTACTTTTTTATACATATTAACCTATTCGTGAGGACTATTCTCTTTTATATGCTCTGAGATTTATTCATAACAGGAAAAGTAATACTAACGTTTTGTCAAAAAAACCACAAGTTAACCACGAACACATGCGTGAAACTCAAAAACTTAATATCTTTACAAAGTGATAAGATAGATACTTTGATAAGGGCGGAAGAATAGTAATTTTTAAAAATATAATTTACAATTACAATAAATAAGCAAATTGTCTCGCGTATTAACCACAATTTATGCATTCTCTATAAAATAGAGTATGTTATTAATATTAATGTTCGTTTTTAAATGAGAATTTAAAAAATAAAAAAGAAATAAAAGAAAACAGGAACAAGTATAAGATTAGAGTTGTAAAGACCTTAAAAACAATTTGGTTTATCAACCAAAAAAAGAAGGAAAAAACAAACTTGAAATTTATCTACAATTTGTAATCAAAATGACGTCCACGACGATAATGTTAAGTTGTGCATCAAAACAAAATAACAAGGAATATTTATATTCTCGATGAGAAGCTAAAACTAACACATGAAAATATTTATTATCATTATTATTATTATTATTATTATTATTATTATTATTATTATTATTATTATTATACTATGCCTTAATAATGCATTATTATCATGAAAGTAAACGACATTGTTACAGTAGAAGTATTACTGATTATATCCAAACTTATATATATATATATAATTGTACTCGATCTAGAACAATCAATAAACAATAAGAGTCTATGTTACAACGGATTACATTTGTTACTTCGACCCTAAACTTATCGTAAGATAAGAAATATAATACATAAGCAAAAGATCTAATTTTAATTGTAACTTTTGTTTTTTTTTCCTTGATGCATTATAAATCTAAACAGTTTTGTAAAACAATCATTCCAATTTATCGTTTTTTTTCAAATATCTAATCATATGTTGCATAATACGCACATAAGGAGTATACATGATTAGAAACTATATACAGTTATCAACGACAACGATTGTATTTAATTTTTATACTTGATCATACTTATAGATTTGGTTGTCATTGAAGGAAGTACGAGTAAAATTGAAAGTATGCGTCAAATTTATTTAATTAGATGAACATCCCGATGGAATATAGAAATATGGTATATCTGTTTTAATATTAACATTAAATTATTATAATAAACGTTAAAAAAAAACGTGTACTTTCAATATCAAAATACTATTCTTCTTCATTTATTTTCAATAATTTAATTGATAGAATTGAGTGCAAAATATACATTAAACAACAATGTTCATACATAACTATCAACTATATTCGTTCACAATCTTTTTGTTAAGAAAGATGCATAAACATGATTGAAGTTACATCATCGAATTATCACTGCAACTATCCGTATCATTTTAACTCTCTACTTTAATAGAGATTTATCACATATCATTTTTACATTTAAAATATCAAAATCATATTCATTTTAATATCTTATACAATAAATTTATTTTTTAAATTGATTTTTTTAAGATTTATGATTTTGAAAAGTTCCTTGCTAAGCAATCACTGTTATATTAGGAATACCTAATGGTCTTTGTTTTTAGTTCATTTTTTATCCTTAACAATTGCAAATTTCACGGATGATATTAAATATTATTATCACGAAAGAAAATCCATTCCAATTGTGTGTGGCAAATCTCTTAAAATAGTGCATTAACAAATAACAGAATGGATATTAAACATATTTTATAATAAAAATCTGTAAATGCACGTATGTTTAAACAAATATCTTGCTTTTTAACTGCACTATACATATGCATGTATAATGAAAATAATATTATGTTTTTTATTTTAAGAAAAAGATGAAATAATTTGTATTCTATAAAAAGTTACATTGAACAAATCCACAAATTATTTACTTAAATTTAACATATTTGAATATTAAAATTTAAACAATTCTAAATTCCTATATACAAAAATGCTTAATTCGATAATAATAGAAAGCATAGAAGCGCTCAATAGAAGGATTATTAAAGAGTAGAAAAATTAATTTACAATAAAGAATTTTATACAAGTATTTGTTTATAACTACGACTTGCATTAGCCACGCATGCTCGTTTTTAATGTGCATTAAAGAAATTCTCTAAAAAGGGTCTTCCAAAGTCTTATAGCCATATAACAAATAATTATATATTGTATATTTGGTGTTATACTTTGATTTATAGTGCATTAGTTTATTTACTTAAATATATATATATTTCTTTTTTTTTCGTGAAGTACTTGCACTGCAATATTTTCTATTTGCAAGCAATTTAACTCCTTTAGTCGAACATGGTGACTACAGACTTTGCATTAAATCTCAGACTCATAACACAGAAACATTCCAAGGACCCGAATTTAATACCCTTAAAATATGAAGTACAATGTGTGATTAATATTTATTATTATTATTAATATTATATTAATATTATTATCATTGTTATTATTAAGATTATCATTACCTGTTATTGTAGCAAATATAGAAAAATGAATGCCTAATGGCATTCCTATGTGTAAGTTAATACAAAATTATACAATATAAGTTTTCAAGAAAAATGAAAATTTGATAATGTCTTTATAACAAGCTGTATATATGTATAAAATCACAAGTTGTAATGTGATCATAGAAAATATACATTGTTCAATATTTAGTTGATTTATGTTGAATTGACAATTAATACCAACTCTATTATTTCATACCAGTATTGAGTTGCATTTACGCAATGCGCTTAAACTTTTATCAAGTTCTTGGACTCATGTGGAACAGCAATTGGGCGGATTAAGTAGATTATATCAATATAAACTTCAATATGCGATTAAAACTTTCGTGGTATTTCTGCATGCAAAATGTTGCAACACTTTACAAGGCCTTTCATATAAATCTTAATGCAATGTTTTTCAAAGAAAAAAAAAAATATATATATATATACATATATATATAATATATATATATAATATAAAATATATATATATATATATATACATACGCACACAAGGTATAGCACTTATTGGAAAAATTTAAATATTTTCACCACTCATAAATGTACTATATAAAAAAAAGAACTCTCTAAAGAGTTATAATGTTTGAAAAAGAATATCCTTTAAAATTATTATTTTTTGTTTTGTTTTATTTTTGAAGACATTAAGATCGTCATTTTATTTATTTTTTAATTTTTAGCGAAAACGCATTATTTTTCTATATCTTTATAGAGAATAAAAAACGAATTCAACGATCTATAAAAATTTATCTCACGATTCAATGGTTCTTATATACATATATGACATATATACTAAGAGTAAGTCGCCTAACTTGATAATCTTGAATTATTTGAAAATTGTTTAATTTAGAATTTGAATAAATTCAAAAAACATTAGATAAATCTTTGTTCGAGAATTCGCTTGCATATCAAGCTATTAATTAGTAATTAAAGATATTTAAATTAGGCGACATATCTAGAATATACATATATCAAAATCACGTTAAATCTACATTATGAAAATTTGTAAATTTTTCAATGGAAAGTTCCTTTTCGCAAAGGCTAAAAGTTTGTCCAAACTCTTATGGAAATCGGCTTATTCGACACAATTACTTCAATTAACATTATTTATTGTTGACAGCAGTCTTTACTCAACAATAATTATTAATATTCTGTAATATATATATAATTCAAATACTGCATTTGCAATCCGCTATTTGAATAACAATGATACGTTCGTATAGATATTTCCACTCTCATTCCTTAATACAAAATAGAATGTCAGTGAAAAATAAAACTTATTCTTATCAAATCACTCTCTTGGACTTGATTACAAAAAATAGTAAGCATAATCGTTGTGTCTCAGTAACATTAGCAAACACTGAGTCTATTGGATACCTTTATGTTTTCAGAATTAACCTTCGCTTACAGAAGATAATGAACTGCGTGTAGAACCAGCAGTATGATGCGTAAGATCAGGAAGGTCTGCTGGTAAGCATAATGGAATCGCACTAGGTCCATAAATTGCCTCTTGTTCTTCTAACTGAAGAGCAAATTGTTCTTCAAGTCTCTGTAATATGAAATGAGAACGCTTAATAATCTATTAGCTAGAAAAAAATTTATTTAAAAAAATACTTGTTACAGTATTTATAACCTTAGAGAAACTGGAATTGTATGGCACAAGGTAATTTTCTAAATTCTCTGTAACAAAGTGTACAAAAATAGTAGCATACAACAGATTTAACTAACCTTTCAATAACTTTTATAATACTTCTTTTCAAATCCGACTGTGGTATCTCTTTATAGTTTTCTTTTATAAAGGTTCTTGTGGGAATATTTATGCGCAAGGACTACAATTACAAATTAGCATGTTTGCTATTAGATACCCACGTAAGAATCCTTTAAAAAAAAGCATTTATCACATAGTTCTACTACTTAACAAAACATAGCATGAAACCAACAGTAACCACATTTACCCACATTATTTTCTTAACATAAATATTTAAGCTTTAGAATATAAAATGAATCGAACTCTTTATATATAATTTTCGTATGACAAATAATAATAATAATAATAATAATAACAATAACAATAATAATAATCATGATCATAATAATAATAATAATAATAAAGCTGCAATGGAAAATAAAACTACAAAGCTGTGATAAAAAGCACATTTTTAATGACATAATAACTAATCAAATGAAATTGTAAATCACATACCAATGTTGGTACTTGAATATATTAAAATATTTTTCCTTTTTTTTTGTTTTGTCTTTTCTGCAATAAATATTCGTAAATATTGTACTGATTCATCTATAATTCACATAAAATAATATTTTAGTATCTGCGTTATGTGTAAATATTTTCTACTTTTTTTTTTTTACTTACTCTCTTTTTCAAAATCTTAATATATTATATAAATCTAACCACAGTTATTTTAATGTATTCAATCATAACTTAAGCAATAATCTAATAGAAAAATATAGATAAGTGGCTATGTAATCCACATCTCTTAAATGCATACATTTATATATATATAAACAATGTCTATTTCCTAAGTTAAAATATAATCATTAGTACCAACTCCAAATAAAGTGTATAGTATAAAGAAAATAGCAATAAAAGAAGCACATGGAATGTTATATTATTGAAAAGAGAAATAAAATATATAAATTTGGAAATATAAATATTTCTTTTCTTTGTTCCATATATATCGTGCATGTACTTATATAGTTGGATTATATTATAAAATATACTAAGTATGTTAACTTAATGAAACATAGTCATATTCTTCATATTTATATACCCAAATTTATCAATAAACAAGATGAATATATGATACATGATGTTGGCAAGTACTATCTACGGGACAGACAAGATGGCATTAGATCTGGTTTAGAACGACTTCGAATAAGCGTGCCATTTGTGGAAGTAGTATCCGAACCAGTAAGTCTAAGAGAGACTCTAGGTATAATAAACGGAGATGGAGAATTTGGAGTAGATCGAGGTAAGCGAGAAGATTTTTGCAAGGTG